GCAACTTTAAGATGTGTGGACTTCAACTCCCAGAATTCCCCCGCCAGCCATGCTGGGAATTCTGGGAGTTGAAGTCCACACATCTTAAAGTTGCCAAGTTTGGAAAACACTGATCTAGATTTTAAGGATCAGAAAGGGGTGCTTTTGTTAGTAGATCAGCCACACACTTGAAATCCATGGCAATCCATTGTAAAGCGGATTCCTTCACTTAAGATAGTAAATACTCTATCTGCACTCAGTAAAAATTAACTTGGGTGTTTGCCTCTTGCTTGTGTAAACTTTGTGTAATGGACTACAGTTACATGCTTAACAAATCTCAACTTGAAACTCTTCTCTTTATTTACTAGTTTCAGCGAGCAGTGGAGGACAACCTGTTTTCTATGGCTTAATTTCAAATTTTCTCTGCAATCAGAGGAGAAAGGGATTAATAATCCCAGCTGGCTGTCAATGGGGATAAAATATTCTCCACCATTGCTAGAGGGTAAGGCATCAGCCTCTTTAAAGGGTAAAAATTCACAGATATGCCCTAAAATTAATACTACTCATTGCTTTTTCTTCTTTTTTTCCTGCAAGTTACCAATGTTGATCTTGTACGTATTCATAACATTTTGTTTATTTATATTATCGGTTCCAAATTTGCCTTCATTACTTAAAATCATAGAATGCTCTCAAAAGATCTCAGTACAATAAAAAATTAGCAGTAAAATTATAAATCTTTCTTGACTCTGCCTCCATCCTCAGTCATTCCAATGTAGTAGAAATATTAATAATAATATTAATATTAATATAGATAACAATAGAAACGGGAAAATTAAAACATCTAATACTATTTCAAGTGGTGTATTTTGTATTTGTACCACAACCCTGCAAAAACACTGAATGTATATCATCTCAAACAAAATCATAAAAATGCTGAAATAAATCTGGACATCAACTTTACCCTTCTGTAACTTTCATGCTGGACTTTTTAAGTAGCATTAATGCCTATAATTTAAAATCTTCAACTCCCTCTTAACATCTTTTGGCAACGTTTGCTCCAATTCTATCACAACCCCTTTGGGCGCCACTGTTAGCAGTCACAGTATCCCCCTGCTAGCCACACAGGGCTCAGCCACACAGGTACCTACCCAGCAGGGCCAAGGAGAAACGTTCACCAACTCAGTTCAGAAAGTATCAAATATTCTTCAGCCAAAGTACAAACCTTTTTGATCACCTAGGAAATTCTGATAAAATTCTCGGATGTAGAATGGTAGAGACTATATGCAATCTTGTAATGTGTTCTGGTTTAATGTATTATGTTTTGTTGTTTTTATGTCATTCTTTATTCTGTGAGGAGCCCAGAGTCAGTTGGAGTTGGGTGACAGAATGAATGAATGAATGAATGAATGAATGAATGAATGAATGAATGAATGAATGAAGCAAGCTCAGGGTTGAAGGATTGACTTGTAGGAGTTCTCTCAACTTGCAGAAGATGTTATAGGTAATAAATCATCAGCAAATGAACTACTCTTAAGAGTGGCTGGTCACTGGTGTAAGACTGACCAGGGAGACTGTGTCCTTGTCTGAGAGTCTCTGGAGTGCTAAAGGCTGCAAGAGGGGTGGGCAGCTTTGAGGGTGGATTCATTGAGAAAAGATTGGAGACAGCTGTTGCCTTGGTGGGAGAACTGGGTGCCCAGCACTGCCAGCTTCTATCCTCTCTGGTGCTCAACACACCCAGCTTCCTGGAGAAGCAGTGATGGGCTTGCTAGCAACATGGACAGCGGACTCTGGGAGATTGCACATTAGTGCATTAATGGAGGCCAGGCTCAGGTCCTGCCCCAACTTTGGAGAGATCCTCTCATGTATCTACAGACAGCCAATAACTGTCCTTGTGCTTGGCAGCCATGGCAGGAGGTCCACTGAGTTTATGGGAAGAAGGGAAGGGAAGGGAAGGGAAGGGAAGGGAAGGGAAGGGAAGGGAAGGGAAGAGAAGAGAAGAGAAGAGAAGAGAAGAGAAGAGAAGAGAAGAGAAGAGAAGAGAAGAGAAGAGAAGAGAAGAGAAGAGAAGAGAAGAGAAGAGAAGAGAAGAGAAGAGAAGAGAAGAGAAGAGAAGAGAAGAGAAGAGAAGAGAAGAGAAGAGAAGAGAAGAGAAGAGAAGAGAAGAGAAGAGAAGAGAAGAGAAGAGAAGAGAAGAGAAGAGAAGAGAAGAGAAGAGAAGAGAAGAGAAGAGAAGAGAAGAGAAGAGAAGAGGGTAACATAAAGATCAGCCAAAGCTGAGAGAGCCCTTAGCAGTGCTGATAAGCACACATGGTCTCTAGAATGCGGTAGGGCTGGAATCAGGAAGGAGAAATCTCTGTCCCCCAGAAAGAGCACCAAACTCTTTCCAGCCTTAGCTGTCAGGCTGCTTCATGCCAGGCTCATTTGTAACTCTGGTAGTCCAGATTCTTAACCCTTTATTCAAGAATCGGCTTACTCAGCAGAGCTCTCTCAGACACGACTTGATTAGATAAGAATGAAGCCACATGCAGGCAGAACTGCCATTCTAGTACATGGAAAGAGAAGCCAATACACAGGCCTGTGCTTCTGAGTTTAAGTTCCAGGCATTTACTTTCTGAGTCAATGGATTCTCTTCATGGCCTTGGGAGGTACCCAATCCATGTTGATTCATGGTTCTCTCTGCTAGCTCATGTCTCACCAATCTCATTTCTGAGACCACTTTTGAAATCAGTGGGAGGGAGAGGTAGAAACACCAAGGTTCCCAAATCCAAGAGCAATGCTTTATCCCTCAGTTCCTACCTCTTTTATAATGGTGAGATACACCTTGTACAAACAGTAACAACATTCATTTGGCAGGGCTTAAAAATTAGTCACAATGTCCTTGGTAGCGTTTCAGGCAGTAAAAGCGGCATCTGTTTACTCATTTGTTATCACAGATGATCCAGTGCTCAACAACATTAAAAAACAGTCATTAAAAAATACATTTCGTGTTACAACTAGGTTGGCCAATTTGGTAATGCACACCATAGCTTAAATAAGAAGCACCTCCATGAAAACTGCACTTATCAGATGAATCCATGTCATTCCTTTGTTGTTATTGGCAGCCAAAACACTAAGCTTTTTCAGAAGTTACTGGAAAACCTGTATGAAGAACTTCTAATGCATTTTTATGATGCACCCTATTTCAATAACTCACTTTCAGACCAGTGAGTCACTGGTGAGACTGACACTTACAGGTGTCTGTTATATTTAAACCCAATTATCCAAACCACAGAAGTTGCCAAGACAGTGTCCAAGGATGCCAGAGAATCCACTGAATACTTAATTGATGCTTGCATCCTCTGCAAATTGTTAAAACGAATTACATTTTAAAATAATTGTCTTAAAGGATGTGACTTGAAAACACTAATGCTAATAATAATGGTCGTTGAGTATAATGATGAAGTAATATTAACAGTAATAATCATAACATTGAATGCAATTGGGCAACAGCTCTCAGAAACACCACATTTCTTTTCCTGCATGATATAATGAGGGTTTCATAAATGAACAATTAGCCTAGCCCTTGGGTTAACACAGCATATCCAGTGTCACAAGTATTGAGTCATACAGTCAAACAAAAGAAATTGTGAGAAAAAAGCTGTAAAAAAAATCATTGTACTGTGGAAGTGTGCAATGAATAACCCGTTTTAACTCTCCACTTTCCTATATACAGGTTCAATATTATGCATTTTTCTACAAAAAAGGAGTAAAACATGTTTATATCTATTCCAGGAATCTCTGCCAAAATGATGGGAAACTACTGAAAATTCAGTGCTGGCTAACCTTCAGATTGTTTTCCCACCTTCCTTCAGATGACAATTCATAAAACAGGCCTGCAATAGAGAACTTTACAAAAGAGGAAAAGAAGAACACACGCGGGAAGGCCTACCGTTTCATCTTCAAGTTTCAGGCGCAGAGTTTTATCCCCTTCTTTGTAATCTCTAATGATTTCAGCTGATTTCCAGACTTCTTCGGGGTCAGGAATCCAAACCCTTGTATACTATATCAGGAAAAACAATAAGAAAAAAAGTAAAATATTAAGATGAACACCAGGAAACGAACATGGGTCAAAAAAGAAGTAACTGTCTACTCCAGAACCCTACTCTTAATTTTGCCCCAGCCTAGTGCCTATGGGGAAAAGGGGCAACACCCCCCCCCCATAAATCACTTAGTATGGTCATTCAAAATACAGTATATATTGCTCTCAATATAGACCCTTTTAATATTGCCAGGCTATTGATCAACTCAGTTCAATGCTGTGTTAGGAAGCTCTATACAGAAACATACGATTAGCCTGTGGATTTCACTGCCATAAGAGATGGTGACAGCCATTCATTTGGACGGCTTTAAAAGGGATTAGATACATTCATATAGGACAAGCTATCAAATGCTGTCCTGAGACTTTTCATGCATGTTGGTTGGGGAATTCTAGGAGCTGAAGTCCACACATCTTAAAGTTGCTGAGGTTGGAAAACCTTGCTTTATATGCATAACGTGCTGTTATTTTGGGGTAGCGTGTCAGTTCCAGCAGCAGGAATTCTGTGACATTAATCCATCTATCCAGATTTATTGCAAGAAAGCCATTTTAATACAGCATAATCATCATCATCATCATCCTGAAAAAAAGAGAGGAAAGAGGGAAAGAATTGGGGAAGAGAACCAAGCTGCTATGACAACCTGCATCTTGTTTAATGCTTCTCAATACTTCCAAGCTCTTGAGATACTGTCAATGCTCTTACTTCTAATTACACAAGGAAAAATTGCCAGGAAAGAATCTTGACATTTATAGCTCACAGTGGGCTCGTTTAATTCCCACACACATAGCTGTTTCCTTCTGTGGCTGCTGACCCAGAATTTAACCCTGGTGGCCATCAGGTTCTGAAAGACTAGGGATGATGAACCTCGAAAATAAATCAACAACAAAGCCAGCAACTTTCTAGCATGAGAGACGGAAAACATAAATCTGACAAAAGGGAGGCAACTCATTTTTTTTCTGGAATGTGAACGGTTTGCTTTTGGCTTACGGTGACTTGGGAATTGATCCATTGTGGGTTCGTACTATGTGCAAATCAGATCATTACATTGATTTACCAAATCTTGATTACTTTGGCTATAGGTGAACCCAGTGAAACTGAGATATAATTAAGAAAATCAACTAAGTGGGATCTCGAAAATGTTGTCTAGCTCAGGGTTCCTCAACCTCAGCAACTATAAGACAGGTGGACTTCAACTCTCAGAATTCCCCAGCCAGCCATGC